GCACCCGCCCGTGATCCGTTGCAACGGGGGCCTGAATCTGGACTCCTGGTTCAGAACAGCTGGGGCACTGCCAGGTAGGTCCCCGCAGGACCAACCCGGCAGCACCCCAGCTGCTCTACCCCAGGCGTCCCGCAACAAAAGCCTGGTCTGCTGGGGAAGGGGCGCACTAGTTGCGCCCCTTCCCCACCCCCCCAGCAGACCAGGGAGACCCGAGCAAAGCTGCGGAGGTGCAGAGGTCCCGCCGCCTCTGCGGCTTTGCTCCTGTCTCCCTGATGTGCTGGGGGAGAACCGCTGCCTGTGCGGCTTTGCTCCGGGGCAAAGGAGCAAAGCTGCACGGGCAGCGGGGTCCCGCCTCCTGTGCGGCTTTGCTCAGGTCTCCCTGCTGTGCTGGGGAGTCCCCCCCAGCACACCAGGGAGACCGGAGCAGCTTTTCTCGCCCCGGAGGATGCGGTGGCGGGACCGGTGCGCTCTGGGCAGTCCCGCAGCCCGCGAGCTCTGGGGCGAGAAAAGCCCCGTTCGTAAGTGCGGATCCGACATAAGTCGGATCTGCGTAAGTCGGGGACTGCCTGTATTGCTGATCATTCCAGTTTAGTGTGTGATTAATATGAGTACGGAGAAAGGTATTTGCAATAATTTAGAGTCTGTTTTTCATGATTTAATTTTTACCATGTTCTCAGCACAAGATAGTTATACAACAGACCCTTAACCATCAAAGTCTTAGAAAAGAGTCTTTAATGCTGCTCTGACATTAAATCAGTGGAAACTTCACTGGTGTCACATGAGATCAACACCAACACCAGTGTGCTTACCATCCCTTTTTTCTGAGTCTAAGAAGCCCTTCATAAAAGTTCCTTACAAAATTTACTTCTGCACAAAAGGACTTTTCATACTGCAAATAACAACCATGTTCCAAAATGTGCTTTGAATTGCATATTCAGATTAATTTAAAACCAAAGTTTGGCTCAGTAGTTCATCAAACTCTTAGGAAAAGATGATGCATAGGAAGAGGTAATGTTTTATCCTTCTTTAATACTTGTAACATGAACCAATCAGCTGCTGTTGCTTTTCATCTCTGAAAAGGAGTGGGAGACTGCTTCCTTCCAATCCCTCTCCTGGCTAGTGGGTGCGTCTTTTCTCCCTTCTTCTTCCTACACTACTCATGTCTGATTCCCCTATGTCAAATTCTTCATCCAGTCTCCTCCTTGCTATCAGAATCCATTTTGTACAGGGGAGGACAGTGAAGCACCCTGGAAGATGGCAAATTTGAGCTTGCATCTTGATACTCTCTATGGAAGCTTTCAGTTTCACTCCTTGCTCTTCCAGGCTGTGTTTTAAGACTAAATGGAAAATTGTATTTTAATATAATCTGTATTTGCTACTATCGGTGCACTTTGCTGAAAGGCATGGAGACTTTCTTATTATCTCAACCACTCTAAGTCTATGACAAGAAATCTATCCTAAACCAAAGAACAGTCGGCATAAAATCTCCAAGCCTTTCAGAGTGCATTAGTCTACTTAATATTTTAAAAACAGAAGTATATATCATTCTATAAAAAGAAAAAGGTATTCTTTCCAGATGAATTTATTTGCCAGAATAGCTATACTAAAAAGGCAGCCTTTAGAAAACAACTCTTAGTCATCATTATATCTGAGCCAAAATCCCAACACCTGTTTAGGAAAAGGCAGATGTCTAAGCTGTGTATTTTTTATTATGTGTGTACACAAGAACAAAAAGTTATTTTAGTAATAGAAAAATATAACTACAATATATGAGGTTAGATGACCACTGGTGTTGATTTGGGCATACATTACATTTAATGGGCACTTTCATGAATAAGAATTGCGGGGCCAATACTAACATTCTGCTGCAAAATAAGATCAAATGAAACACATGTGATTGTCATTTATTGCTCTTCTCAACATTTGTCCTTCACCAAATACCATTGTCAGTTGTAGCTCATTAGCCAAATATTAAAATTAAACATTAGGTACAACTCTAGCAATATAGTACAGTATCATAATAAATAGCATATTAGCATTTTACTTATGGTAAACATATTATATAAGTCTGCTTAACGCAATTAGATATATATATATATATATATATGGACTACCTTAGAAAACTCATGCACAATAGAATGTGTTATATGGAAGACTAGCCATGGTAGCTTTTCTACATAAACAACTTGTAATTTTAAAGAAATAGACCTAGGAATTTTTTGCTATATTATAGTATAGTATAGTATGCTAAAATAGTTTTGCTATTATTACTGTTCTACATACATATACCCAAACAAATTAAGATCCATAAAAAGGGTATTCTCACTAAAGCATGATCTTCAGAGACAAGCTCTACTGAGACTCTGATTATCAGGATTACAGAAGTTTAGAGTCCATGTTTCACGCTAAAGATCTGAATTTGCATATAAAAACACAAATGTTCTCATTTACTGCCAGAATAAAAGATGTAGGGAGTAGCCCAAAGTAGTCCATATACTGAAGAACTGGTAAGCATTTTATATCACCTACAAGAAGCGTTGTTTTAAACCCAAGAATCTTTTGTTAGAATCTATTTAACTGAACATATGGGAAAATTAGTGAAGAAAGTCAGGAACACTTACCATTATTCCAGTAAGTAAACAAACTCCTTTCCCACAGTATGTATTAGGTACCATGTCACCATATCCAATGGATAGGAAAGTTATTGAAATCAACCACATGGCTCCAAGGAAGTTGCTAGTAACATCCTGCTGATCATGGTACCTGAAAGAAGGAAGCATCATAAATACTTCTACTAAATATTTTGCTTTGATAGGGGGCTTTAACTAGCATCAATGATGTATGTCTCAGCTGTTCTTTCTCAAAGCTATAATGCAATTTATGTTTTGGTTGTTGTTTTCTGTTTGTTTGTTTGTTTGTTTTGTTTCTGGGATAAGCAGTTGCAAAATTATATAAAACTTAGACCAAGCAACAAAAATCAGCTTATCCCATAGCCCAGGTATTTATCTGTGTTATTTATTATCTAATATGATGAGTTCTTGGCTGAAGAATTCCCCCTCCCGCCCATATAATCACTTCAATGGAGACAAATTCTGCAGGTGCTGAAACCAACTATGCAGTGGAGCCAGCATAATCTGCTGACTATACGGAAGAAGCAGAGAAGCTCTGTAGGTGGCTGGCAGATGCATGGATGGGCTGAGGGTAGGGAACTCTGTTCATCTCTCCAGCGACTGGCCTTAGCATAGCCCTATAAGCATCAGTTCACTATTAAATTGACATATCGTCACTGAATAAACTGAAACACTCTGGCACCTTCAGTCTACTTTGCTACCTTGAAAATAGCAATAAGCATATTGCTGCCTTGACATGAATCTCTACTTGACCATGAAAGCTTCCTGTTAGAAAAGTAAATATTATTTTTTGTTAAAATCAAGTAGGGACCTTCCGAACGTAGAGAGGTGCGGCGAGTTCCAGTGCATAAGGCTTGTCCTAACAGGAAGGTGGTACGGCAGGTTCCCTTGTGACTCAGGGGCTAAGGTATTGGCCTAGGGAGCCAAGGGTGGTGGGTTCTAGCCAGGCTCCAGGAACTAGGAGCCAACAACCCAGCAGATAAGGGACAACCTGAAGGTAGGGAGGTGGGTCAGGCTCCCGTGTATAAGGGACACCCTGACAGTACAGTAGTGGGGCAGCAGTGATGTTAAAATATCCTAGAACAACACAATTGTTCCCCCCTCCAAAGAGAGAAGGCTAAATAATCCAATTGTGTCCTTGCTTTACAATCAGCTGTGAATCCAGTGGGACCTGCTTTCAGATCAAAACTTGTTGCCAGTGCACAGTCTGAATGAAATGGAGCACCAGAAGAGACCCTTCCTCAATAATACTGCAGCTTTAAAGTAACCCCACAGCTGCTAGGCTGCCCGGCATAAGTGGTTTATATTCTGGTGTTGCCTTCCCCATGGCCTACTCCAAGCCACTGTCTTCAGTGGGAACAAGGACAACAGGTGGAGCTATGTTCTATGAGATTTACAAGCTCACTGTCCTACCACAAAAGCAATTTCCTTAGTTTTGCTTCCTACAAAGTCTCCTATGCTTGCAGAAATAAGCTAGGATTGCACAGGGAATATATCAAAAGCGCTCTCCTTCACACCAAAGGACTGAAAGTGAACAATCCGTTAAGATCAACATACTGTACTGACTACAGTGAAAGACTCTGCCTCATACTGTCCAAAAAATTAAGGAATCACCTGCTAAGCATTTTATACAAGAAACAGAAAAACATCAAGAATGACATTTCTAACTTAGAGAGTCTCATCTCAGGACAAACATCCACACCGACTGACACCTTGCAAGACTTTTGTTCCACCAGACAAGAAATCTACTATACACACTTCTATTCCCTACAACAAAGAAAAGACAATAAATTTTCTAACCTGCTCCATACCACTGGCTACAACAGCAACTGCCTCAACCCACCGGATAATATTGTTAACCTCTCCAGCTACAAACTCAATCCAGCAGAAGAGTCTGTCTTGTCCCGGGGTCTCTCTTTCTGCCCCACGTCCCCCACAAACTGGATACAATTTTGTGGTGACCTTGAGGCTTTTTTTCGCCGCCTCCGTCTCCGAGAATATTTCCAAACCACCACTGAACATCAATCTGACCTACCAGATCCCCCCTACCAACACCAAAGGAAAAATAATTCTATATGGACTCCCCCTGACGGTCGGAATTACAATCTGGATTTCTATATACACAGCTTCCGCAACAACGCACAGACTGACATTATTCGCAAACGACAACAAGCGACACACAATCTTAGCCGCGCTGAACACCATGCCATCCAGAGTCTCAAAAACAACCTGGACATTGTAATCAAACCAGCTGACAAAGGGGGTGCTGTGGTCATTATGAATAAGGCCGACTATAACCAGGAGGCAACCAGACAACTCTCGAACACCACATTTTACAAACCTCTCCCCTCTGATCCCACCTTGGACTACCAAAAGAAACTACACTGTCTCCTTAAAAGCCTCCCCACAGCTACTCGGGAACAAATCCTCACAGAATCACCTTCTGACCCCCGACCAGGATTGTTCTATCTACTTCCCAAGATCCATAAACCTGGGCACCCCGGACGTCCCATCATCTCTGGTATTGGCACGCTCACCCCCGACCAGGATTTTTCTATCTGCTTCCCAAGATCCATAAACCTGGACACCCCGGACGCCCCATCATCTCTGGTATTGGCACACTCACTACTGGTCTATCCAGCTATGTAGACTCTCTCCTCAAACCCTACGCAACCAACACCCCCAGCTATCTCCGAGACACTACTGACTTCCTAAGGAAACTACAAAACATTGATAACCTCCCCAATAACACCATCTTTGCCACCATGGATGTAGAAGCTCTATACACCAACATCCCACATGAAGACGGATTACAAGCCAGTAGAAACACTATCCCAGAGGACACCACTGTCAACCTGGTAGCAGACCTATGTAAATTTGTTCTCACCCACAATTATTTCCAGTTTGAGAACAACTTATGCCTCCAGATCAGCGGCACAGCCATGGGTACACGCATGGCCCCACAGTATGCTAATATCTTTATGGCTGACCTAGAACAACGTTTCCTCAACTCCCGTCCCCTTTTACCCCTTCTCTACTTACGCTACATCGATGACATCTTTATGATCTGGACGCATGGCCAAGAAACACTGAAGACATTCCATAGAGATTT